TTGATTGGCTAATAATCACATGTAGATCTACAAATTGATCTACAAAGCTAGCCAATCAGACGAATTTCTGCCTATGAGTGGTACATAGCGATAGCGATAGATGTATCCTGACTATAGATAGACATACTCCGATTTTTTTTCTGTACTGGCTAAGTTATATTATGATCAAATCCTGCGAATCCTTCACTTTTTTAAAAAAAAAAAATTTCGCGGCAGTACTTAAGAAAATTTTGCTGTTTTTCGTGAATCACAGAGAATTGGCTCTGTCACGGGTCGCGATTCGAACTGGTTACGTAATAATTTATTATTAATAGGGATAATCGCAAGCTTGATAATTTATCGTTTCATACACTATGGGTCTGATTACTAATATGCGCTCTTTTTTTTTTATATTAACAGAAAATAACGGTCTACAAAAATCACGAGGACAATAAAAAAAAAATGAATGCTGAAGTTTATGAATAACAATCTCATTAATGTTGTGCTTAATGTTGTAATTTCAAGCACCTGAAGCTAAACCTGCCTAAAATTACTAACGCACACAAGAAGATCCAATTTAATGCGTTAATTTCAGTAAGTGTAACTTCAAAAACGTTTGAACTCGCAACTTCAAGCAGGTGCCAACTTCAAACGACATTGACATGATATTTGTTATATTCGATATATTCGATATATCCTTTATATTCGACCTTTTAACTACGGTAATAATTTCCTTCTAATTTTTGGGGCCGACAACAAAAGTTAAATAACATTAACATATTTTTGTTGAATCTTAATAAAAAGGGAAATAAAATACGAAACCGTCGAATACTACTATTTAAACTAGTTTTTACTCTAATTTATATAATTAGTATATTTAAACAAACTTTATTATAAGGAAAAAATATATCTTCTTTGATTCAAACACTATAGACAGATTAGAAATCACACAATTGGTCTAAATAAAATAAATAAACAAAATTAAAAAAAAATTGGTCGGATAACAACTGGACATCTCACTGAAAGTATCGTCTTATTTTTATTAAGGGAATGTTTTTCATATATCAACAATAGGTCAATTTAAATCTAATGGTATATGAGAAACTTAGGTAAATAAAAGAACTTTATATTAGAAGGTTTAACGGGAACGACGACCTTGATATCAATAGGTGATGATGATGGCGCTTGGTGATACTATGCTATTAAGGGTGATAATAAGTAGATGTTCTTAAGGATGATGATGATTTTGCGATATCTTATTAAAAATGTTGATGTAAAAGCGGCAATAATCAAGTGATATCAATGGTAACTTTGAGTTCACGTGATGGTGAACAAGAACATTTAGCACGTAATATCGTGAATGAAATGTTTGATTCCATAAACGTTCTAGAATCCGAGTCCTAATAAGCTAGTCTCGATAAGTTTATCAAATTTAAAGTAGAATTCAAAAGGCAATTCACAAGAGAATATTGAGATAAGTAGATATGATATATTATTTATTGGAAATTGATAGTGGACTTGAACTGACTTTTCATGATTAAATTTTAAGTGCTTATATATGTTGTAATTGGGAACAGGATTTAAGTAAATTTGGAATTTCTTAGTTAAATTAGTACTTCAGGGTGGTGTTTATTTTATATAAACCCTATGCCTTAACCCTAAAATTCTATGAAATTTCAAATCAACTTAAATCTCTTCCCACTTACAACAAATATATTTCGAAAACTTTAGAGCGCATACGCTGCGACTGCGCTAATAATTAAGCGGTTACATTAAATACTATTAATTTGGCGTTCCGCTTAATTTTCAGCGACTACGCGATTAACTATGCTACCCAGCCGCTTATATTTCAATTTTAGTACAAGTGATTATTTGTAATGCATGAAAAATAATGAAATAACCGAATTTGGGACATTGTTACCAATATGGAATTGGAATTACAAGGAAATCATGTACATGCTGAAATTTTGCTACGTATACGGAGAAATATTTACAGATGATAAGAATTTCAATTTTGAATTAGTTACACTATTAAATCAAATAAAATCATCAGCATCTAAAAAAAAAGATTTTATCGAAAAAAATTTGCACTTGCAAAAGTGTAAGATGTGTCAAAATAAATATTGGGACAACTCAAAATAATCACTATACTAGAACTACTAAGGCTACAATTTCTAAACCTTAATATTGATAAAGCTTCAGTCGAGTAATTAGGCTTATAACGTCAGTTTCGTGTTCAGATAAGTATTTTCTCTTCGATTACGCAATTTACTGTATCTATTACTAATACTCTTCTTTTGATCTTTAGCGATATTGACTCGACAAAAATCACTGCTCAATGAATGACCAAAAAACAATTTTGCTTAATCGATCAAAATTCAATTATGTAAACTTAATCAAGAATGATCGATCGAGCACATAATTTATAAGCTCGAGTATATATAATCGATCAATCATTAGGTCAATAATTGATTGATTATATCTTACCTACGAAAAGAAAAAAACTCTAAAGTAAAATAATAATATATTCTATGAAAATTTTCTTGATCGATCAAATTCAAGCATCTGATCGATTAAATATTATCAATAATTGGCATACTTTTGATCGAGCTTACAAAATCATGCTCGATTATTGACCCAACTCGATCAATAATTATGATATGGACGAATCAATTCACTAGGTATGGTCACGAGATCACGAATCAGGGTAAGTTTACTAATTTACTTGAATAATGTTGATTACTTAATCAAGATCGACTTTCTAATATAATGGGCTGTATAACCAATTCGGATTCTTTTCTTTTATTCAATAAAAAAATAGGGTATACGTTAATCACGGGAACAAGAATTAACCATTTTTAGCGACTGAAGGAAAACTATTCAGAGGCCAACACTTCACTTCTACTTAATATTCGAAGGTTTTAAGCTCCGAGATTTAATGCTATATTGAAGCGATAAGGTGGGTCTTTTATACCGTTTTCACTATTATCGAGTACATTATGTAATCTCAACCATTCAGTATTTAGCATATTCACTATGTTCAATATGTTTGCTATGTTTGCTATGCTTCCTATGTTCGCTATGTACATCGCGCGTGCATAGATATCGTTCCTGGCCATGGTAATGATGTTTAAAGCTCCTGTCAAAGGTTGTCCTTACGGTGTGTGTCATCCCTATTTTATCATTTTCTCTTTGGGCCTTCGACGCGAGTATAGGTATCGCCCCTGTCCTTAGCAATGTGGTAATAATGAGATCTTCAGTCGAGTTTCGCTCCTGATAATAATATGGGTGTTGTTTCTATTTTCATCGTCTTCCTTCTTTAAAAATTGTGCGAGCATAGGTATCGTTTCTGACCCTGGTGATGATGATGGCTCATTGATGATGAAGCGTTCGTTTTTTGGGCATAGGTTCGTCACTAATTGCGTCGTCTCTGACCAGTGATGATGAAGCACTCGTTTTTGGGCATAGGTGGCGTCCCTAATTGCGTCGTCTCTGACCTCAGTGATGATGAAGCGCTCGTTTTTTGGGCATAGGTGGCGTCCCTAATTGCGTCGTCTCTGACCTCAGTGATGATGAAGCGCTCGTTTTTTGGGCATAGGTGGCGTCCCTAATTGCGTCGTCTCTGACCTCAGTGATGATGAAGCGCTCGTTTTTTGGGCATA